TTTTTGTTATAGTAAATTCACTTTATTAAAAATCCATTAAAAATACAAAAATCAATGTTATTGGTGAATCAGGTCAAAAGATTGAGAGCAAAAATACTCCGAGTCGTAGCCCAGGCAAAAGGAGAGGTGTTCAAATGGTTACTATTGTAATTATCAAACCAAATAGGTCTAAACTCTATTAATTATGAAATACAATATCATAACCAAATCGATCAAACAAATACAACAATCACTTTAATCAATATAACATAACATTATTATTACATGAGAAAATATCATGTTAATGCATCCATCATAATTTATATAGTGATGTATACACCTACAAAAACATATGTATAATGAACTTTATTTTTTATGGACCCAAAAGGGAGAAAATTTTGACTTTAAGTGGTTATTCACCGTATTTATTAAGTATGTATATATAATATATTAGACGTAGGGATGGTAAAATGGACTGGCAATTTGGGAATTCTCCAAAGCCAACTGATTATGAGTCAAATTATTTAATTTGGGTGTAAATTAGACTCATTACATTGGTTACCCAAAAGAAAATGAATACACAATGTGTTTTTTATATTTTTTTATTCTAAAACAAACATAAATGTGAAAATACCAACATTAAAGGTGTTAATTGGTTTAAACCAAATGGGTTCACCCACACCCACATCCAAAATTATTAAGAGTACATATGAGTCCATTTGGCTCCAAGCCAACCCAATATACGTATGGATCTTGACAATTGGGTCCAATTATCCAATCGATCTATCCATTGACATTCATATTATTTAGACATGTGGCTAATTGCTTAACTGGTTAATTGGTTTGCATGGTTAGGAGTGTGTGAAACCAACCCAAACCACCTAAACAAAACAAACTAAAATTTTAACCAAATCAAACCAACTATCCATATTAACCATATCAAATTATTCAAATGCTACCGGTTAAAATGGTTACCACGAAACATTAAAAAAAATTAATTACCACGATAACCACTCCGTTTGAATTAGAGATTTGTTGTCTGTGTCATTGATCTCTTGGTTTATGAAAAGAAGGTTACAAGTTTGTGGTATTGGGTCAAAAAAGAAGATCAGACATCATGTGACTAATTTGCAAGAAGAAGAAAAACAAGACAGAGGATGGGAAGGCTGTAGTTGCCAGTGACTTTTATTCCTCATTATTTTCTACTAATGGGATGGACGCCCAGTTTGTCAAAGATCAGGTGATGGAGTTGCCGATTGAGGAAAAAGTGACTGCTGCAATGAACGATAAGCTATCGACACCGATCTCGCCGGTAGAAATCCGTACGGCCGTCTTCCAGATCGGGGCTACTCAGGCCCCTGGCTCTGATGGTTTTACTGGGGTCTTTTTCAGGAAGTTCTGGGATATAGTTGGGATGGATGTTACGGAGGCGGTGATTCACTTTTTTGAGTCTGGGAGCCTTTTGAAGAATTTTAATCATACTTGGCTGGTTTTAATTGCTAAAGTGGATGATGTCGAGCACATGAAGCAACTTCGACCGATTAGTCTCTGCCAGTTTGTGTATAAGGTAATATCGAGAATCTTGGCAGAGAGGCTGGCTCGCTACCTCCCTGCCATTGTTTCGCCTGGTCAAAATGGTTTTGTGCGTGGGAGGCAAATTGTTGATAACGTCCTCATTGGGCACGAGGTCATGCATTATCTTCGGAAAAAACGGGAAGGAAAACAAGGGTTTATGGCCTTGAAGGTTGATATGAAGAAGGCTTATGATAGGGTGGAATGACCATTTTTATTCGCATTGCTTGAAAACTTGGGTTTTGTGCACAATGGATTAGATGGTTAAGCGTTTGTGTTACGTCTTCAACCTTCTCGGTTATGATGAATGCTTGTCCTTCTGGTTATTTTGCGGTGTCTCGTGGCTTACGGCAGGGAGATCCGCTTTCTCCCCTTTTGTTTGCGCTTTGTACGGAAGGATTTGCTGCGCTTCTCCGTCAGGCTATTGTTAGACGGTCTTTAACGGGGATTCGTATAAGCCCTCGCTATCCTGTGGTGTCTTATTTATTTTTCGCAGATGATTCTTATCTATTTCTGCGGGTTTCTGGTTTGGAGTGTTCTGTTTAAGAGAGATCTTGGCTAGATATGAGGCACTGAGTGGTCAGAAGGTAAATCTGGATAAGTCGGCTATCTACTTTAGTAAGAACGTTAAGCAACAAGAGAGGGAGCATCTTGGGTCCATTTTTGGTGTTGGGACTGTGGGAGCCCATGATCAATACTTGCGCTTACCAGCTCTAGTTGGTCGATCTAAGATAGAGACATTTTGCTATATCGAGGAGAGGGTTTTGAGCCGGCTTCAAGGGTGGAAAAGGCGGTGTCTATCGTGGTCAGCAAGAGAGGTACTGTTGAAGGCGGTTGTGAATGCTTTGCCTATTCATGACATGTCATGCTTTTGGTTGCCTGCCACTTTGTGTAGAGATTTGGATAGACATATTGCTCGATTCTGGTGGGGAGCTAAAGCGGGGGAGCAGAAAATTCATTGGGTCTCTTGGAAAACTCTCTGTCTGAGCAAGGCTGAGGGGGGAATGGGGTTCCGACGATTTGAGGATTTCAACCAGGCCTTACTGGCTAAGTTGGAATGACACTTACTAACGGATCCTGATTGCATGCTTGCTCGAATTTTTAAAGGGAAGTACTATCCCAAGTCTTCGTTCTTAGAGGCTACTACGGGGTCTCTTCCATCTTGGGGATGGCGTGGTATGGTAGAGAGCTCCTTCAACAAGGTTTGCGGTGGCAGGTTGGGACTGGGGATAAGATTTCATTTGCGACTTCGGATTGGGTCCCTGTTTGTCACCTAAATCCTCCTGCTTTGCGTCGGAGATGGTGGGGGCCCAGGGGTTGGTCAAATCCTTGATTTCGTGTGAGGATGGTAGGTGGAGGGAGGATTTGCTTAACAAGTTATTTGAACGGGACACTATTGCTCAAATTCGGGATATTCCTTTTCCAAGAGTTCCGATTCAGGATAGGCTGGTCTGGCATCACGACCTCTCTGGGTCATATTCTGTTCGATCAGGATACCATCTTGTGGCAGGTCTTAGGCGGGGTCGAGAGGTTCAGGCTAAGTTGGGTCCTCCTATTTGGGATTCGGGTTTGTGGAGTAAGGTTTGGAGTGCCCCAGTGCCCCCCAAGTTTCAATTCTTCCTTTGGCAATTGTTGTGGAGAGTGGTTCCCACAGGTGAAGCTTTATCAGTTAGGGGTATGGAAGGGGTCCTTCTGTGCCCCACATGCTTATGGGAAGTGGAATCTGCTGAGCACTTATTCTTTCATTGTCGGCTGGCTGATGGATGCTGGGAGGCGGCTGGGCTAGGTTTTCTTCGAGATGAGTTCACGATGCCTCGGTTGAAGTCTTCTGGCGACGATTTCTTGACCAACCGAATTTGGAGGGGGGGGGATTGTTAATGTGAGTGATTTCCCTTTTCTGGCGCATATGGAAAGCCCGGAAATGGGTGGTTTTTGACTCCACACTATTCACCCCTGCCGTGTTGTTCTCACAGTTCAGTAGACAGGTGGCAGAATGGGAGGCGGTGCCTTTGAGTAGTGGGTTAATGTCTTTCCCTGCCTCTGGGGATGGGTTGAGGGGGGTTCAGTGTGGGGTTCATGATAGGGAGTGGGCGTTGTGGGTGTTCACGGATGGGGCTGTTTGTACAGGGTCTCATGGTGCAGGTGGCTCGGTTCTGGAGGATTCCTCGGGGACGCTGCTTGGGGCAGATGCATCTGTGTATCCGGATGTGCAAGCTTCACCTGTAGGAGACTTATTGTGGAGTAAGGTTTGGAGTGCCCCAGTGCCCCCCAAGTTTCAATTCTTCCTTTGGCAATTGTTGTGGAGAGTGGTTCCCACAGGTGAAGCTTTATCAGTTAGGGGTATGGAAGGGGTCCTTCTGTGCCCCACATGCTTATGGGAAGTGGAATCTGCTGAGCACTTATTCTTTCATTGCCGGCTGGCTGATGGATGCTGGGAGGCGGCTGAGCTAGGTTTTCTTCGAGATGAGTTCACGATGCCTCGGTTGAAGTCTTCTGGCGACGATTTCTTGACCAACCGAATTTGGAGGGGGGGGGATTGTTAATGTGAGTGACTGCCCTTTTCTGGCGCATATGGAAAGCCCGGAAATGGGTGGTTTTTGACTCCACACTGTTCACCCCTGCCGTGTTGTTCTCACAGTTCAGTAGACAGGTGGCAGAATGGGAGGCGGTGCCTTTGAGTAGTGGGTTAATGTCTTTCCCTGCCTCTGGGGATGTGTTGAGGGGGGTTCAGTGTGGGGTGCATGATAGGGAGGGGGCGTTGTGGGTGTTCACGGATGGGGCTGTTTGTACAGGGTCTCATGGTGCAGGTGGCTGGGTTCTGGAGGTTTCCTCGGGGACGCTGCTTGGGGCAGATGCATCTGTGTATCCGGATGTGCAAGATCCTTTCTTAGTGGAGCTCATAGCCTTGAGGGACGCTATTCGGTGGGCGCTTGATTAGGGGGTGCAGGACGTCGTTTTTGCAGGTGATGCCAAGGTGGTGCTTGACAAGGCGAAGGAGGGATCGTGTTTGGATGCTCGTGGTGGGGTAATTTTGGAGGAGATCAAGGTGTTGAGGCAATTTTTTCTCCAATCTAGTGTTTGTTTTGTTGGACGTGCGCGTAATAGGGTGACCCATATGGTGGCCAGAAAAGCCCTTTCATTGTTCCCTAGTTTGATAGGGTTCGATTTTCGTTCATGGCTTTTGTCGGCTAATTGACTTTAGTGTATCTTGATTATCTCGTTCAATACGAAGTATCTTTTGGAAAAAAAAAAAAATAAAGACAGAGATAAAACTTTAAGTAGTAGACATGGAAAGAAGTTGAAAATAGGTGACCAATTAGTACTTCATCATATAATAATCGTCAAGGGTGTGCCGAGACTAAATAAAAACAAATCGCTGTCATTCAGGTTTCTCTGTGTATATATATAAAACCGTGCCACACTGCTCCTTCCAACACCACTCTCACAATTTACAGGACACTAAAAAAAATTCCACTTCTCAGTCTCCATCTTGAAAAGTTTGATTGCAAGAAAGGAAAAAAAAAGAGTGAGAGGGAGGGAAAATGGCAGAGGAGAGTAAAATGGAAAGAGGGCTTCTCGTGCAGCCGTTGCTAGAGGGATCAGGTAATAGTAATAACAACGAGGAGGACATGATGAGCACTGCCGGAAAATCTTCGTCGCCGGTGGAAGCGACCTCTGCCGCCGTTATCTTCAGCACTTTCGTAGCTGTGTGTGGTTCCTTCTCCTATGGATGCGCTGTAAGTCCTCTCTTCTCCTTATCTGTTTCACTATTCCATTCCAGGCTTAAGCAAAACCAAGGACACAGAGAAGATTGTTTGGGAGCAAGAAAATAGTCACGAGCTAGGAATTCCTTTAGCAACCAGCTATTTGGTTGCCAAAGAAACTATGCTCTTTTCATAATTAAACAGCTTGGACCAAAGTGAGTCCCAAGTCCCAACGGAGAATCTGTAATTTGTCAGGCTGCCGCACTTTATTAATGGTAAACGTACTGCCCATAACATGAGGGCGAATCAATGAAATCAAAGTAGAGATTTTTTTTCTTTTGCCATAAAAATCAAAGTAGAGATTGAGAGACAAAGATCTGGAAATAGGAATAATTACACATGGATCGTATCTTGTACCCCCCACTAATGCAATTCTACATCCTTCGATTTGAATATTTTTATAGTTATCGTTGAAAGAATCTTTATGTGATAGATTAGAGGGAGCTAGGCTATAGCTTATAGTTGTCCAGCACCAGATTTAAAAATTCTACTAGCTATAAACAAGATTTAATTTCTACTAGCTAGCTAGGTCCATGAATGGCATATTTTCTTGAGTCGCTAAAATATGATTTTACATAATTGAAACTTACTTCAATGAATTTTTTATTCGTTTATTTTGTTGTTGTTTAGTTATTATTTAATGGATTCAAATCCGAGACCTTCAGTTTCAACGTTAGTAATAATAACACTGGACCAAATTCTTGTTCGTAAAACTTACTGCAATTAATTAAATGATGATCCGAAGTATAGTTGAGCAAAAATTCAGAAAAGAAAAGGTGTCACTAAGGGAAAGTATTAAACTAGCTAGTCGGTCGGTGAGAGGCAGGAAATAACTACTAACTAGTAACTAGGCGTATCATATGATCTACCCAAAAGAAAAGATTCTACATCCAGCCTGGCTTCGCTTTTAATGCATTAATTAATGCCCTCATGTGTTTGAGAGGTGAATCTGAAACCAAACAAGCTTCTTGCTTGGGATAAGATCCTATCATCTCTGGGGTTATATGCCTCGCTCTGGGCTAGTGCTTGCTTTTACCGTGTCGAATAAGAGTTAGTCTCAATAATTCGATCGGAATTATTAAAATTTTGGAATAGAATCAAAAATTGGTTGAATATACATATATCAGAAACCGATTTGGCCAAAATTACATTTTCCTGTCACTCTCCTTGCTAAATTGGTAATTTTTGGATTTGGTTTCTTCTGTTGATTGGTGGTGTATATATATAGTTATCATACTCATCGCCTGCTGAATCTGGGATCATGGAAGATTTGCACCTCTCCATTGCTTCTGTAAGTTGTGCCAACTCTTAATTACCCATCATCACCCTTCTCAAAATTCTAAGTGATCAATAATCACATGATGAAATCTCAAAATTTCGGTCTTATTAGAGCACCGCACCATCCAAATATTATATGCAACTCATTAATTATAAAAAATGAAATATACGTGATAGGAGTAGGTAGGGTAAAACTCTGTCCCACCGTTTTCTCCTTTCATGATTCCTTGTCCCATGTACTGGCTTAGGTTGAGGATTGAATTATGAATACCATCAATAATTAATTAATTAGTTATTAATTAGTCTGAATATATATTAACTAACCAATAATTAATTAATTAATTAGTGTGTACGTACGTACGTGTTTAATTTGTGGGTGTGCAGTACTCAATGTTTGGGTCGGTGATGGAAGTGGGAGGGATGATAGGCGCTCTGTTTTGTGGGAGAATAACAGCTGTGCTTGGCCGCAAATATGTAAGTCGCTAATTCCTTTTTCAACCCTTCTTCTTCCTACTTTTGGGCAAAACTACAATACAGTTTAATTTGTAGGCACTAGTAATCAAACAGAAGCAACAATGACTTGATATAAAATAAAGAAACTAACTATTCATTAATTAATGTATTTATAATTGGGTATATATAGTAGGTATGAGTTGGAACAGTGTGCTTCTTCGTGTTCGATTTTTATAGCCAATCTGTAACAAAAAATGGGTCTAAAATATAAATAGTGAGAACAATTGTGCAGTTGTTCCTAACTTCTCTATGCACTTGTTTCCTACCGAATTACTTCCATCCGCTATTCCAATTCTACATCGAGAGCACCAGTTCAAGACTTGGATCGAGTGAAAGCCAGGGCTAGGGCAAAGATATATTCGATGAATGTGAACAAGCTAGGAAAACTAGTGCTCGTGAATGGACGTTGCACAATCATTATGAAAAAGTTTCATTAATGTCATTAGCAGGACTGGAAGGTGGAACAATCTTTGTAAAAAAAAAAAAGAAAAATAAAAGCTGAAACAATCGATTTAGTGGCATTAATTTGATGACGATGATAGTAATAATAATAATTGTTGTTGGAATATTGCAGACAATGTGGCTTTCCCAGGTGTTCTCCACCATTGGATGGCTTGCTATAGCACTTGCTAAGGTGATCAGAGTACTCAATGCGCCATTTTATTTTACATCCTCTCTAATCCAGCTTCCTCTGCTTGTTGTTAATTGTCGACGAGATAATATAATTAAATTATATGGTGTGTTGTAATTTTTTTCTGAACGAAAAAGAATGATTGGTGGCTGGTGACGGGAAGGCTCTCGATTGGGTTTGGAGTTGGTTTCGTCACCTACGTGGTAATTAATTAATTAATTAATTACCTACACGCACTTAATTAATAGATTGTTCGACTTCCTTTTGCCTACCTAATAGCATAGAGTACGTACATGCACGCAGGTTCCAATTTATGTAGCAGAAATTGCACCCAAAGAGCACAGAGGATCATTTTCATATGCCAGCCAGGTTTCATTTTCATATATATTCCCCACAATTTCGATTGTCAAACCAAAGGAGTAGTTTCACTTTCATGTAATGAATAATGTGATGATGATGCGCGCAGTTGTTGGTGAACTGCGGCTTCTCCCTTGTGTATTTCCTGGGAAATGTAGTCTGCTGGCGTACCTTGGCAATCATCGGTATTTCCCTTGTCAATTGCCTCTCGATTTCCATCTCCATTTTTAATAAGTAAGTAAATACCTTAATTAATTAATTAATGTTGGTTGTTCTTCGTACGTAGCACTTGTGCCAGGGGCGTTCCAACTCGTCGGCTTGCCCTTCATTCCCGAGTCCCCGAGATGGCTGGTGATCGTTTATGCTACTACCTACGTGGTTTTTTTTTCTTCCTTCAATTATAGTAAGTGATCGACTTATTTTCGGGTCATTTCGCTGTTTTTGTAGGCCGGAGTTGGTCGAGTGAAGGAGTTCAAAGCGTCGTTACAGCAACTGAGAAGCAAGAGTGCTGATATCTCTCAGGAAGTAGAAGAAATTCAAGTAACTACGTACACATTGCTAATTCTCCCATCTCGACTCCTATTACAACCACAAACAGTCAATGATTCGCCGAATTCCATTTATGACTGCAGGACTCTGTCGATGAATCGAAGGACGACCCAAAAGCCAGAGTTGGAGACATTTTCCAGAGGAAATATGCCTATGCACTAACCGTAATAAAGCGCCCCACTTTCGCAGCTATATACATACATGTGTATTATTATTACTACATTTGATCAATTTCCCAACCATTTTCATTGGATTGGATTGTATTTCTAGGTTGGACTTGGTCTAATGCTTCTCCAACAACTCGGGGGCACTTCAGGAGTTGCATATTATGGCAGCAGTGTAATCCAAAAAGCAGGTAAAATCATACATTGAGTAATATAATTCCTCGAGCTTGTTATTTGTTAACAGTTAAAATTTAATTCCAATCATTAATATATTTTTTCCTGGTTATGGAAACAGGGTTTTCGACAACTGTTGGCACCATAATTATTTCTCTAGTCCAGGTATTTAATTTTTAGTTATTAATTAACAGGGTTCTATTTCTATAAGAACAAAGCAGGAATGGTCTCAAACAAGTATGGTTGTTTTACTGAATTTCGAGATGCCATTTCCGCTTGCAGGTTCCTATAGCAGCTGTTGGGTTATTCCTGATGGATATTTGTGGAAGAAGACTTCTCCTCATGGTAATTTTAATTATCAGTAGGAAACCATGAAAGCTAATGGAGCTTCCAAATTTATTTCATATTATTCCGTCATATAATTAACAGTAGCTAAGCTTAAATGGTGGGGGAAATGCCGTACAGGTTTCTGCAGGTGGAATGAGCATATGCAGCTTCCTAGTGGCATTGTCCTTCGTATTGCAGGTACATAAATCTGATTATACTTTTTGGAATCTTTGCACAATACTAGGAAAGGAGATTTTTGCAACCATGTTCGTCGTTCCAAAGTAATGAAAAATGGGTTTTCGCTGTCATTCCAATTTTATCGGATGTCCCCAAAAGGAACTGTTGTAATAATGACTTAGAAACAGAGTTACTAGAAAAAGACCAACTCATATGAAACATGTCTCAGATGTATTGAAACTAATCTGAGTACCACTCTGAATCTGCTTTTGTTTTGATCATCACAGGGGCTTAACCCTCTCAGGGGAATCACTCCTATTATGGCTATAATTGGCTTGACTGTGAGTGAAAAATTTCTGCTGCAGATAGATGATTGAATTAATAGCCACATGCACTGTTTTGGTTCAGCTACCTTATTTGGGAAAGGGATTATGCAAACTTGTTTTTGTAGGGATACTTCACAGCTTTCTCAATTGGAATGGCAGGAATCCCCTGGATCATAATGGCAGAGGTGAGATATCCATGATACTACCAATATGGCTCCCTAAGAACTCAACTCATTTCCCAACAAGTGCTCAAATTTCTTGCCTTTTGTGAGAAACAGATATTCCCCATGAATGTGAAGGCTCTAGCTGGGACACTAGTCACATTGGTCAATTGGTCATCCTCCTGGGTCATGACTTACTCTTTCAATTTCATGATGCAATGGAGCCCCGCGGGTATTATATAATTTCGATCGTAAAATTTTTAAATAGTTTGTTGATTACTTCGGGTTACTGATCAGCTGCGTATGTAATCTAATGGGTTTCTGCTCTTTTGAACAGCGACTTTTTTTATCCTAGCTACAACATGCGCACTCACAGTGGTTTTCACCTTGAAGCTGGTACCGGAAACAAAAGGAAGGACTCTAGAGGACATACATAAATCAATGATGCGGCTCGATTAGCGAAACTAGCCAGATCTTTGTATATAAGTATAAATATTGTTATAGCGATCCTTGGTCAATGGTGAAGCTTTGAACCACTTGCGATTCACTAGATTTACTCATCAACGATGTTTCTTAGAGCTAAGCCAAGGGATGGCTAGTATAATTGATTTGTGGTGTATGTCGTGTATCATTAGAAATTGCCCAAAAATTTAGAACTATGCTACCCACAACCCGCACCACAGTGGGTAGTAGTTCACCACTACGCAGTGCAGTTTGGTTGTGGATACCGACAAAAATTTCATTATTGAATATGATAATATGGTCATTAATATTGGTGTTGTGTTCTTCTTACATTGACCGACTACTTTTCTTGACTTGGTTTTGTTTTATAAAACAAAACTATTGATAACACAAAAAATGATGATATTTAGAGCCCATATTTAGGTGTGTTTTGAGTCATTTTATTGTCCTCGGGGCTTATTTGTCATCAAATATACCCTTTATTCATTCTCTAAAGAAAATATTAGTGTTTTAAGATGTATTAGTTGATAAGAATGGTAAAGGTACCAAAAGAGGGCACATGGGTAGAGAAATGTGCAACAACAGAAGATCATGGCTAGTGCATGCTTGATCACGCTCGAGAACTAAGGACGCGAAGCTGGGCACCAAGATCGCAACTTTCAGTTGCAAGATCACTGATGCTAAGTTATAGGATGCGCAAAATTTTGGAGCAGCCAACAAGGAAGGAACATAAAGCTTGATAGTCGACTTATGACTCTCTTCATCCGAGCCAGCGAGAAAGACAGCAGTCGCGACTCATGGATCGAGACCGTGAAGTCGGGCTGTGAACTTCTCATCCATCAAAGTGGAAAATGGCGACGCTCAAGATCGCGGCCTCCCCTTTTCAGATCGCACCCGTGATCTTTGCCAGTTCTACCGTGATCTTGGTCGAGAGCTGGAAATCTATAAATAGGGGGTTCCTACCCCTCGTTTAGGGAGCTTAAATCAATTGAGAATTTTTTGGTTTGAGAGAGAAAGTAGAGAGAGAAGATGATGGAAGGAGAAGAAGAGAAGGAGGAGTAGAAGAAGGAGGAGTCAAGGAGGAAGGGCGGTCACCCTAATTCAAGTCTTCTATTTCTATACATGTATCTTCTTCCCTCCTTTATGGAGTAGTCCTCTATGGAGATGGCAATCAAGTTGCAGAAACACCGGAGAACCATGTTTCGGACAATGATGACACGGTCTTGACTTGAATTTCGAGTTAATTAATCTCTTAGTAGGATTGAAAGCTATGGTCTAAGTTTTTGGATATTTGGAAGTACTTTTGACTCCTTTCTAAACTGCAGTTTGAGAACTTTCTAGACAGTTTTTTTTTATCTTTTGGGTGATTTGGCGATTGAATGTAAGATATTTTATGTTGGATATTTTGTGACGTTTTAGTCAAGTTACTCATCAAAATGTGGTAAAAACTATCATTAATCGTCAAAAATAAAATTTTCGAACGAAGAAATTCGGTCACAAATAGTTTTGAGAACCCGACAGTACAAAACATAGTGTTTCCAATGACAACGATCCTTCACAAATAGATTTGAGAATTTGTCAATACAAAACATTATTTCCGACGATGAATTTTTGTCAGAAATAGATTAGTAAACACATTAATACAAAAATCACATTATTTCCAATGACAGAGATCCGTCACAGATAAATTTGATAATTTGTCAATACAAAAAAACATTATTTTCAATAACTCAATTCTGTCAGAAATAGATTTCAGAATTTTTCACGAAAAAAGGAGATTTTATTTCATCAAATACGATCTACACTCATATGTTTTACATAGATCCAAATTTCCACACAATATGTCCGAGAATCAAACAAACAAACTCAAACTGACTATATAAGCTAACAGTTTCAAAAACAGCCTATCCATATCTACCTGCTACATATAAGGCTTCACTACCACAGCTGCTGCAAACTCACAATTTCCACATTCCAAATCCCCCAAGACCTTCAGCATTTTTGAAATCAACTCATCACAAGTGAGGTACTTCTTGCCATATAACCGACGACACCTCTCCCTCCAAACTTCACTAATCAGCAAACACCAGAAGGAAAATACCCCCAGTTTGCAGGAAAAAATCTCAAGCAATTCTGGGTATAGCTGCACTCAGAGAAAATATGGTCCCGACTTTCTGGTAAGATCATACATAGAGGACAGGTTTCATCTACATCAATCTTCCACTTTTTGATTTTATCAAGAGTGTTGATTCTATCAATCATGACAAGCCATACTAACAGAGAGTTTCTAGGGATTTGAAACTGACCCCAGATCAACTGATATCCAGGCAGCAGCTCTCCCCTTGGTCTGATATGCTCCCAAATCTACTTGCTACTATACTTTTCCATTTTCACACCATTCCACAAACCCCTTGATCTGAGCAATGGAACTGATCTGCAACCATAGAACGAGCCTGCAGAATTTTATTCCAAGCCCAAGAACCTGAATTCTAATTATCCCATATTGACAAGTTCCTCAACCGATATTCCTTTAACCATGCAATCCGCATAGTGTCCATATCAAACTGAACTATGTTGGCAAGAACTGAGTTTATGAGCTCCAGCTTCCCTGCGTAAGTAAGAAGTTTTTGCTTCCACCCCTGAATTCTTTTTGTTATTTTGTCTACCAAACTTTTACAGTCAGCTATCCCTAACTTTCCTGCAATGAGAGGTACACCTGGGTACCTGACTGGAAGTGAACCCTCCTGGAACCCAGATATATCTATAAGCTCTCTACGAGTCTCAACACTCACTCCAACACAAAACAATTCACTCTTCGGTGGGCTACAACGCAATCCAGAGACCTTTGCGAACTGCTCCATGATTTCCGCCACAGTCTTAACCCCCTCCTTAGTCCCTTTTGTAAATATCAACAAGTCATCCGCAAAGCATAGGTAGGTAAGCCCCACTCGATGACATTGCGGATGATAAGGAAGCACCCTTAACATTGCAGCCCTATTCCACATACATGTCAATACTTCCATAGTAATTTCAAAGAGATAGGGGGATAATGGACCCCCCTGTCTAATACGCCCCTGGGAGGGTGTATTTTATCAATGTCACTCAGCAAACGACTCAATCGAAGAATCGATTGAGCTCGAATCAAGAACGAAGTGTTCTTAATACGAACTTGGATAAAACGAAACCAAAAGGACAAATCCACACATGGGGATAGCTCGATTGGTATAAAAGGGTAGTTGCTCGACCACGATTGAAGTGACTATTCAATCGATACACAAGCTCAGCAAGTTTGGAATCCACCAAACCCAAAACAAGTCACAACTTGCACAAACCAAACGGTTTCGATTTCTATTCAACAAAGTCTTGTTTTTTTACAACGTAAATAGAACGGTATTTAAAGGCAAATAAACCTAATACAATACTAATAGAACTTGAAACAATTCACGTAAAAGTTTACACTAAAAAGGACACAAAATTCGAGTTTGAACTCCCTTTCTTGAAGCACAAGCAAGCTGCCAGCAAACAGTCAAAAGGCAGCTTTCGTACTAACTTCGCACCTTTTGTTCGAGGCCTTCCCGAACTCCAATTCTTCATCCAATTCCTTCCCTTTGTTCACAAACATACCTAGTTTCATGTTGTGGAAGCCTTTGGACTTGAATTAGATCCATACTCCTCGAATTAAGCTCCAAAGTAGGCTTCACAAAACACTTTCCAGACTTAACCATTTTCTGGCAGTTTTCCAGTTTTGAGATAGCAACTTTGAGGCCTTGGAAAACAACCTTAATGACATCGTATTGATCCAAAAAGCATACCATTGGAAACAGTGGCGTAGCCAGGATTTCATTCAAGGTGGGTTCGACGTGAAAATAAAAATATATATGATAAATATAATTAATATTTACATGACCCACGATGTGTTTTTATAGTTTTTCGACCGATTTCGTTTGAGGATGGAGAAATTTACCCTAAATTATAAATTAAAAAACTAAGAATAAACCATTAGAGATGTAGTTTTATGTAAAAATCTAGAGTTAATTACATAATATGTAAGGTTAATATGTGCTATAAAGTTTTCTACAATATGTTAGTAGAAAAGTAGTGAACATGAGGGGTTTGATTTTAACATTAGGGGTTTCGTACAAATATATATATTGTGAAGTTGCGATTGTTTACGTGAGATTGTTACTTGTATTGTGAGATTGGATTTCGTATTAATATATATATTTAACAATCACAACTTCCAACACAAGCACTTAATCTCGAGCCAAGGTAGGTCCGGGGACCCACCCTCTTCCAAGCCAGCTCCGCCACTGATTGGAAACATGGTAACTTTATCTGTAAAACAAACCCTTATAATTGAATTTCCACCAATCCAATTGAGAGAACCATGCCTCCAAAGTATGTACCCTGAAAATGGATTTTGACTTAGCCAAATTATGCCATTCTTCTTCCCAACTTCGTTAGCTTCTTTGTCGAGTAATTGTGACGTGAATGGTGGGAAATTTGGGATCATATCACTGTCTTAATCCTTTTCGAGCCTGAATGTTTCCAGTTAACCCCCCATTCACACAAACTCTAAACGATGCACTTTCCAAGCAAACTTTAATCCAATTCACAAACAGATCAGGCAGCCCCATAACAATCATCACAGTATAAAGAAATCTCCAGTTAACACTATCGAATGCTTTCATTATATCGATCTTTAAAGCACAGCGTGGAGAAACTCTTTTCCTATGATACTTCCTATCCATTTCATGTGCCAGGATAGTATTATCACTGATCTGTCTTCCTTTTATGAAAGCAGGCTGATTGCTGCTAATCAAGTCTGGCAGAACTTCCATAAGTCTTGTAGCTCAGATTTTGGTGATGCATTTGTAAATGGCATTGCAACATGATATAGAGCGATATTGCTTAATGACTCAACATTATTCACCTTAGGAATTAAGGTAAGAATAATGTTGTTTACCTCTGCCAGTAGTTTACCAGATATGAAAAAATCCTGCACTGCTCGAATCACATAAGCTCCTACTAAGCTCCACTTATCCTAAAAGAAGTCAATAGAAAACCCATCTGGCCCCGAGTGAAGGTGTGACCATGTGTTATTTATCTTTTTAGTAAAAATAGTTAATATATTAAAATTTGCACCTCTTATTTTTTTCTCTTAAACACCAATTTACACCAAATTTTTACTCCCTTGAATTTACTCCCCTTTATAATTTATACCCTAATTTGTACCCTCGCGAATTTGCACTTCTCTCATTGCCAAACAAAGTATAAGGCCTAGAGTTAGATAAAGATAATTGTCCGTCGAAGGCATCGGAATCCTATAAAT